ATCATAAACTACAAGCTCTAGCATAGCCACACCCCTTCTAGCTAAACCATAAGCGCAAAAACTTATTTTGAAGCCCTGATCTCTTAAAAGAACTCCCATTAAAATTTAGTTTAAAATATCTTTGTATAAGAGGATTTCATCTACCCTTAGGCTGGTAATAGGGGTGGATTGCAAAGCCAACGGCCTCTAAGTTCAAAGCCACATCCCACAAGAGTAGTACTCCCAACCAGCTCCAAAGATTATGTTGTCTCTTATATTTTATACACTCCACCGATGAAGCCAATCCTTCAAAATTCCTCATATTCCTTTTCTTCTATTCTCCCACAACACTGCTCCTTGAAAAATCCTACAAATGAGTATCTCATGCTTTGGCATACCATGTACATTGAGATGATCAATGATATTAAGATGGCTTCTAGGCAACATTAAAGAACACCACATAAGATTTAAGGCCCAACACGATAACCTTTTAGCAAAAGAGTAATGAAGGAAGGGGTGATTACTAATCTCTACATCATTCTTACACATCAACCAAATATTCGCCAAGATTTTTCCTCTCTTTCTCACGTTATCCATAGCTAAGATCTTACCTTGCATGACCACCCTAAGAAATGCTTGAATCTTGTGTGGTATTGGCTATTTCCACGCTTGATTAAGCATTGGCTGAGGCTAATTAATTTGATCAGGATACAACAATCAAGAGGCTTATCTAATAGTGAACATATCATCATTCTTCATTTCCTAAATAACTTGATCATTTGCATTGGAAGATATATAAACACTTTCCAACTTATAAAGCAGCTGAGTCATTTGAAAAAAACCACATCTAGTAACTTTCTATAGGAACATTCAATATTCCAAATATGACAATCATCCTCTTAAGCACCCAACTCTATCATCTTAGCCACAAGATTTGATACTCTTGCAAATAAGTTGAGAAGAGGCACTGCCAATGGCCTAGCACCGAGCCGTTTGTGATATCAGAAAGAAATGTAATTTCTATTCCCAACCATCCATTGTATATTTCGTTGTACAATTTCCTGACCATAGTAAATAGCCTTCCAAAAATGAGACTGATACCTTCCTCTCCTGCCCCTACTAATACAATGTGGGTGTCTATCCATTGCATATTCAGCTTGCAACACTCTCAACTATAGCGGCTCTTCTCCTTCTATACACCTCCACCATCATTTAGATAAAAGTGCTTCATTAACTAACTTAACTTTCCTCTTATGCCTAAATCTCCATCCTTTTCATAGTGCGGACCTCTCCCAATTGAGGTCCACAAAGAAGTTTCTCATCATGTGTTGAACCATCTTTATAATAGTAGAGGACATCTCCATAATAGACATCTAATAGATATACATGTTTGCTAAAGAAGATTTAGTGAGTGTGATCCTTCCTCCAAACGATAAATATTTAGTTTTTCAAGATCAATTTTAACTTGAATCCTCTTAATAATTGGATCCCAAATAGATCTTAAACCCTAGTATCTGATAATGGAATCCCGAGGTACTTAATAAGGAAAGAGTCAACATGGCATCCAAGGACAACAACTAATTTATTGAAAATTTACCTTAAGTCCCAAAGCCAATTCGATGCATCTTAAAAATCTCATAATATAACTCAACTGGTCTATACTTGCACCACAAAATAGTATCATCTGCATATGTGACACCGTAGGCTCATTGTATTCGATATTAAAACACACAAATCTTCCCTTAGCTTCAACATTTTTAATCATTAAACTAAAGCCTTCAGCAATAAGAGTGAATGAGAAAAGGAATACCTTACCTTAAACCACGGCTTGCCTTGAAGAATCTTTTAGGGTACCATTTATCACAACCGAAAAATGTGCACATAAAAGGCATCCATCTATCCGCTTCCTCCATGTTTTCCAAACCCCATACATCTTGTAATCTTATGCAAGAACTTCTACTCAACTCTATTATATGTTTTTTCCATATCGTGCTTAATAATCACACATGGAATATTGTGCAATACTATCGAGTGAATATATTCTTGAGCAACCAAGATATTGTCAGTTCTTAGCCTATTTTTAATGGAAGCTAATTGAGGCCCCGAGAATACAAAGTGGAACACCAGTTTAAGTTTTTTAACAAGCAACTTGGCTATAATTTTGTAGAGACTTTTTAGTAGGCTTATAGGTTAAATGTCACTAAGTTTTGAAATCACATATCTCTTTGGGATAAGGGTAATGTAGGTGGAATTAATAATTTTAAACATTCCTCCCTTGTTCCAAATATCCATAACTATTAGCAGCAATTCATTTTTAACCAACCCCTAGAATCTCTGAAAGAAAAATAAAGGAAAAACATCAAGCTATGGCGCTTTATCTCTTGACTAAGTAAAAACTACCATTTGTATCTTATCCATAGTGTCATCTTCTTCTAATTGTTATGCTCAATAGGGAGACAATTGTTTGAAGGGCACCCTATTCAATCTCACACTGATAGATAATTCACTAGCCTTTGAAAATGATTAATAATTTCCATCTCCCATTCATCCTCGTCACCTTCCTAAACCCCATAGAATTTCAAATCTAAGATATTGTTTTGCCCTTAGCACTTGCTATTGAGTGAAAAGAAATACATGTTAAGGTCACCCTCCTTAAGACAGTTAACTCTTAATCATTGTCGGCAATATATTTCTTCCATTATCAAAAGTTCATGTAAATTATTTAGTAAATTAGCCTTCTCATTTTTTCAACTCATTTGACATTATTCCTATGTTTTGGATTTGTTAGTCCACTATCTGGATACATGATAAAGTAGTATCAATTTTGCTCCTAATATGATATCTCATGGCTATTTTCCAATCAATAAAGTGTGTGTTTTATATGCTGGAGCTTCTTATGGAGAATGAAGTCAAAATCACAAAAAATAACAATGTCTTCCCAAGTTGATTTAGTCAAATCCACCTCTTCTTTTTCTTCCAGTTGACGCACTTCCAACCTAAAAGGTGTAGGCCTACTTTTTACTCGTGATGTACTTAGGAAAATAACAAGATGGTATGAAGATAGTTTTGGTAAAGCAATTGCTTTCGCTGTGGAAAAAAGCCTTCCCAATCATCTAAAATCAGAAAATAGTTCAATTTTGACATGATTAAATTCAATTCATTATTATTAGACTAGGTGTAGTGTGTTCCACAAATATGGAGGTCCAAAACGATATGCTTCACAATGAAATCATATCGTCTTCATGTTTGAGTTAAAAAAAATACTAGGGATGAGGTTTCATGTGCCCAATATAACAAATTAAAGTTCTCGCCAATAATATACAAGTAAATTTCAATTTATAATAACATTGCCAATTTCATTCATTAAACGATGAGCGAAATACCCTGTAAAGGTTGTTTTTATCAAGATGGACTATCAATGAAGCAAACCAATCATTCCGCCTTTCTTCTCTTTTCTTCTCTCTCTCTCTCACCCATGTGCTTTTCTACGTGACCCATATGTCTCACTCTCTTGTGATTCGTGTTGAACATGATTGTCAAGTGTCTTCCTTCATTTCAACAAACAATATTATTTCTTCGACAATTAATTAAGCGTTGATATATACCCTCTCCAAAACTATCTTTGTAAGTTCTTTTTTCCCTTGTTTTGTTATTACATTGGTTGAGTGATACATAATGATCTTTCACATAGTTAACCAAAAAATCCTCATATTTTGAGGATTATCCAACCAATTTCATTAAAACTTTGACCAAACTAAAATTTGTCCTAGGCCAGACCATTTAAAGGGAAAATTAGCAAGCTATGTTTTCCAAAGGTTCTTTCAAGGGAAAATTAGCAAGCTATGTTTTCCAAAGGTTCTTTCAAACATGCCAGTTAAAGAACTCACATTCACTAGGCATGGTCGTATTATGGGGTTTTTCTCACCACAACTCGATTGCACCTTGGATCTTCCAAGTCGGGGGTTGGGCTGTTAAATTCCTCAAAGATAGCAAGTACATATTAGAATTGTATTTCTATATATTTGGACTTTAAGCTCCTAGATTGGGTTACAAAGTTGTGTACTACTAATGATATTAATATATGTAATGAACCACCTTTTTAATATGGGTACACATAAAAAGAAGGAAAATATTTTTCCCAAAAATAAAAGGAAGAAAAATATTATTCCAAAAAATAAGTGCAGGTTTTATATTTCCACACTCCCCTCAAACTCAAGTTGTATTAAGAGATAACAACTTGAGTTTGGACAACTGAAAGCCTTAGTAACAAAGCAGGAACAGAAAAAGCTTGAGCAACAGTAAATTAGCTATCATCAGAAACCGACATCTTGAACGAAGCAGTCTTGCATAACAACAAATCAACAGACATTTGGAACAGACAAGATCCAGTAAACGTGATCATCACATAGGATGAAGTAACAGAAAACTTCATCATCCAATAGGGTTGAGTAAGGGAAAACTCAATCATTAAACATAGGCATCTACAACAGATATAATCGAGTAAATTCAATCATCACACATGCTGGAGTAACAAAAAACTCCATCATCCAATAGGATTGAGTAACGGAAAACTCTATAATTAAACATGATCAAGTAAGAAAAAACTTAAACATCAACCAGTATTAAGAAATTCTATCATTAAACAGGAGCCACTTGGAAAAGGCAACAAAAATCAGCAGTGGATCAACAAGCATAGTTGGATCTTCGATTATAAGTTTAGAATAGTAAGATCTAAAACAAATCAGAGAGTAAAAAACATAACTCGGTAGAGAGACAGATCAAATAGTCAAAACATGACTCAATGGTTGTTTTGCAGATGGTGTAGATCAGTCGTTTTCATATGCCACTTTCAGAGGCGGATTTAGAAGCAGGTTTCAGATTTGGCTCACTAAGGGTCTAACATTAGAGGGGAGCATGGCAACAATGGCCGATCTATGACCGTCCGATCCCCATCTCTGAAGAAGTCCTTGTGGAATCTTCAGCCTTCTTTTTCTCACTCTTCCTCCTTAGTATTGGATTGCATGGCCCGAAATCTCCAGGTATCTGGCAAAGGTTATAGAAGAATCGTAGCCATTGCTGGTTCAAAAAAGTTATTTGTTGGTAGCAATTGGAAGTATAATGGGACAAAAGAGAGTATCAGTAAGCTTGTTTCCGATATAAACAATGCCAAACTTGAGAAAGATGTTGATGTTGTTGTTTCACCTCCTTATGTATATATCCATTAGGTAAAAAGCTCATTGACTGATCGCATTGAGATATATGCTCAGAACTCTTGGGTTGGTCAGGGTGGAGCTTTCACGAGTGAACTTTTTGTGGAGCAACTAAAAGATATTGGTTGCAAGTGGGTTATTTTTGGCCATTCTGAATGGAGACATGCTATTGGTGAAGATGACCAGTTTATTGGGAAGAAAGGTGCTTATGCCTTAAGCGAGAACTTGAAGGTAATCGCATGCATCAGAGAGAAACTCGAAAAAGAGGCTCGATGCTTGAGAGACGAAATATCAAATTGTGACTTGGCTCTAATACCATGTTAGACCCCCATAGAAGATGTATTATTGAGCTTATAGAATATGTGAACAGGAGCTCAAGTTTATAGAGTTATAAAGTTGTGTACTACTAAAGAAACTACTATATGTAATGAACCACCTTCCTAATATGTGTACATAGAAAATGAAGAAAAATATTGTTCCCAAAAATAAAAAGAAGGAAAATATTTTTCCCAAAAAATGGTGCAAATTTCTAATTTCCATAGTTCATCTACGCCTCCGAGTCCAACATTTGAATCAAAGGGGTCATTCAAGTCTAGGCTAAGTTCGAGTTGGCGTTTTAGAAATTTGAATACTTGAGATAATTTGGGGTTAAGTTCCCTTTAAGACCAGGATGATAATTGTATTGATCTCAACTAAGTAGTTTTAGATCTTGGTAGGGCAGTTTAGACCTCAATTAACTTTTTTCCCTCAGTCATCCACTTTTCCCTCAGTTAAGCCTATTGACCATGATTATGCAACATTGAGAATGATTATTATGTTTTGACACGATTAATTTGTATTGAGCTCAAAAGGAGTTTTTAGGCTCTTGAGGACATAGAAAACCAACAATTTTGAGGTCTTTAACATTGATATGAGATGCTATCTTATAATTCATGAACCAAGATTTTGTTAGATTGAATTGATTCAAAGGTGCAAAAAAAAAATTAAAGAGGTGACAGTAGAATGTCCTCTCTATATTGGGAATCTAATAGTTGCATATTTGCTGACTAAGCCCTACCTTCTTGAAACTTACTTAAAATAATATTGTGGTTGATACAAACTTCGACACCTTGATATAAGCCCCAAACACCCTTCCTTTTGTACTCATGATGCTTATCAACAATAGAAGGAAAATGGCTTTATTTGTAAGTGTTGGATTTGGAGTCCGTCCCTTTGTGAGTACCGGGATGTCTATGATATTTTCAACATTCTTAATAGCTAATTAGAGAAGAGGTTGTCCATAGATTTTTGGACTTGTTAGTGGTAGAAAAAAGAGATATAGGTATCCCATGTGATATGAGATTTTTAAAAAGAGATAAAGTTTACTTGAGAGAACATTATCTAAAAGAGGTAAGATAGCTTTTAGATAAGATTCCATCATGGGATATTTTTTTATATAAAGTTTGTTTTAAAGGGAGAAAAAGTATAGATTTTCACATAAGGATATATATATATATATATATATATATATATT